TGATAGAGGGGAAGGGTACTGAGAACATGACGGATGAGGGTCATCCTTCCACCAACCGAGAGCATTTTATGCCTCCAACCAGACAGCTTCTTATCAAATTTGGTCAGGATGTGGTCATAGTAAGAAGAAAGGCATCTACCAGTGAAAATATTGGCGCCCAAATAGGTGAAAGGGAAAGACCCCTTCTGGATATGAAAAATATTTTCCACAACAGTAAAGTTATGGTTTTTGGCATGTTTAGAAATAAGGTAAAAGCTTTTGTCCTTACTAATGAGCTGCCCAGAGTAAGTTTCATAATCTGTGATCGTTTTGTTAAGCAAATTCAAGGTTTTTTTTTCAGCATTAGCAAAAACAATGAGGTCGTCCGCAAAAGATAAGTGATTAATATTCGGCATGCTTCTAAGGGTATAATAACCCTTTGCTTTACCGGTTTGAAAAAGATGGTTTAAATGCTTGGTGAGAACCTCGGCAGCCATGATAAAAAGGATAGGGGAGAGGGGGTCTCCCTGTTTGACCCCCCTTGAGGGCTTAAAAAAACCTTTAGGGGCACCATTAATAAGAACAGAGCACCAAGTAGCATTAAGATTGTTGTAAATAAGATTAGAGAACATGGGATGAAAGCCAAACCTGAGAAGCACCTGTTTAATAAAGTTCCAAGATATCCTGTCAAAAGCTTTGATCATATCAAATTTGAAAATAATATTGTGACCTCTCAGCTTAGTATTAATATGTGTGACATATTCCCGCAGAAGGAGAATACTGTCAGAAATCTCCTTCCCATTTTGGAAAGCAGTTTGTTCGGAGGAGATAAGTTTAGGAAGTAGCGGGGTGATCCTGTTTGTTAAAATCTTAGTAAAGATTTTATTAAGGAAGTTACACAGGCTAATCGGCCGGAATTGGGAAAATTGGTAAGCATTTTGGGTTTTGGGTATGAGAGCGATTAAAGTGTGCCCTATAGCTTTGGGGATCGGGACCCCACAAAAGAACTCCCTAACAGCATTGTGCAAATCATGTTCAATAATATCATAGGTGCTTTGATAAAAGTACCCATCAAAACCATCACTACCTGGGGCACTGGTCTTATCTAGACTGAAAACAACATTGCGTAACTCATTTCTGGTAACGGGTCTCATAAGCATGTCATTATCAGCATTGCTGATAGCAGGGTTAATAATATTTAAAAAATTACTGGAATCAAGAGACTCAGTGGCATCATCTGCCGTAAGTAAGGAAGTAAAGAAAGAAATGGCAGCATTATTAATATCATTGGAATTTTCTGCCCAGTCCCCGTTATCCAGTTTTATTTTGGAAATGTGCAGCTTTTTGTGTTTGGCTTTTAAAGAGAGATGAAAAAATTTTGTATTCGCATCTCCCTCTTTTAGCCATTTTATTTTAGCCTTTTGCCTATAGAAAGAATTGATATAGCCAGAGGCCTGGATGTAATTGGCCTGAGCTTGCTTTAAGAGGAGGTTATCCTCCTCAGAAAGGGAATCAGAGATCTTATCTTCAAGAAGAGAAATTTGTTTTTCAGCTTCGGACTGTATGTTGAAAATATTTCCAAAAATGGTTTTATTCCAATCTCGAAAAGCAATTTTCATCCTTTTTAGTTTTTTGAAAAAAAGCCACATTCCATAGCCATCACAGGGAGTGTCCCAGGATGCTCTAACAATGTCCAGAAAAGAGTTATGAGTAGTCCACATATGCTGGAATTTAAAACTTTTGGGGCCAGTATGGGAGTCATTTTTATCTTGAAGAAGAAGGGGGTTATGATCAGAAACACATCTGTTAAGTTTTTTGAGAGTGAGGTTCCAATTGAGTTGAAGAGCCTCATTTGAAATCAACACCCTATCCAGTTTTTTTAAAACAAGACCATTCATCCTATTCCCCATCCAGGTATAGGGTGTACCTTGGTAATTAAGCTCAGACAGACTATTTCCAAAAATGAAATCGTTAAACTCATCCATATCAGACTGAGCAGGCTTACTCTTACCTTTATATTCTTCCAAGTTGGAAATAACATTGAAATCCCCTCCCAGAATCCACGGTTTGGTGCCAATGTGACTTCTGAAAACATTTAGATCACTCCAGAGAGTCCTTCTGGCAGATCTGTCATTAGCACCATACACCACAGAAACATAGATAGGATGATCCAGATAACTGATAGAGATACAGAGGTTAATACATTGAGTACAATCAGACTCAACAGTAACAGACATGGTGTTATCCCAGAGGATCCAGATTTTGTTAAGAGAGTGAGCAAGAGCATTGTTAAAACCGAGAAGCATCATTTTATTATTTAAATTGCTGGAACTTATTTTGGGTTCGATAATAGCAAGAAAATTAAGTTTATGAGTTTTGCACAAAAGGTTTAACCTGTCAATAGATTGGGAATTCCCAACCCCCAGGATATTCCAAAAAAGCATACTAATCATAAAAACCATTTTGTTGGGCAGATTTTTTGGGCCTCAAACTGTAGGGTTCCCTATTTGTTGGGTACTTTAAGGGTCCAGTAGAGCTAGGTGACACATTATGTTTGGTTTTTTTGGAGGGTTCCCCATCAGAGAGAGTTGCTCTGGGGTCCTTTTCCATTTCCACTTCCATTGTAACCCCCACCAAATCTTGGTTCAGAGAAGTTTCAATCAGAACCAGTTCACTGCCTGCAATAGGAGTGTTTGTTGGTGATTGTTGATTGGCATGGGGGCTATTGATAATATTAGCTGCTATGTCCTGCACAGTAGTTAGATTATCAGGTTGTGTAGTATCACTAGTAGCACTTAAGACATTAATAGTATCATCCAAAGAAATGACAGGGATGTGACTCCCTGTTATGGCAATAGGAGGCGTTTCGTCATTGTTAGTCATATTTCCAGTTTCAGGATCTTGTTGAAGTTCATGCAAATGTTGAAGAGCATCCTGTTGAAGTTCATCCAAATGTTGAAGAGCATCCTCAAAAAGTTCGGGGGGAGGGGCAGAAACCCCCTCCTTTATTACACCAGAGCTTTCACCTGCTTCAGGGTCCTTTCTACGCCAAGTAAGAGGCATTGTTTCCCCCGCATTATTGTTTGAGACCACCTTTTTGCCCCTATCCAAGTTTAGGATAGGGTCATCACCAGGTTGGTCCTCAACTTTATTAGAGTTGGTTTTGGGGCATTTCCCTTCAGTGTGACCTATGTGATAACACTTCTTACAATAGGGAGGGAGATGCTCCTCTATCACAATATATTGCCAAAAACCTTCGTATCCGTCATCCTCAAGCCAGAACCTGTCTGGTAAGGGTTTTAACAGGTCGATCTCGACCTGAATACGGGCCAAAGAAGGTCTTTTTTTTTGTCTAAAGTTGGCTTATCACACCGTAATGGTTGGCAGAAATTAGAGCATAGTTCAAATAAGAATTCCTCATCAAACAAATGGAAGAAATGAAGATTCTCTATCAGGGTGGTACCCCGGATACCATCTAGAGATTCTCATAGGAAATCCGTGGATTATCCAAGGTTGTCTGGTCCTACAGCGAATGTACTCGGTTTTGTCCGAGAAGGAGATAAGAATCTCATTCTTGTAGAGAAGACCGATTGTGAAAGCTTTAAAGTTAAGGGCTTCGAAAACCTTACGTATTGAGTTCAGAGGAGGACGACCCTGGGAAAAAGTGCCTACCAGCGAGTATTGGAGGTCGCTGGCGAGCAAATCGGACCTAGGCTTTGGAATCTTCACCGAAAGGCATCCTTTGTATTTTCCGACGATTAGCTGAAGCGAAGGGTCCTCCCTAGCTTTCGGCTGTTTCCTGGACGGACCGGAAACCACCGACGCCCAAGATAGAGGCGGAGGGTGCTCCCCCATGAAGGGGAGTTGAGATCGCAGTGTAGCGACCTGAATTTTCCAGCTAAATCGAAATTTTTAGGATGTTTTTACTTGGACTGTAATTTGCTGGTCTGGTCTGGTCTGGTCTGATCTGGTCTGGTCTGGTCTGAACTGGTCTGGTCTGGTCTGGTAAGGTCTGGTTTCTTTGTATTTTTATAACTATCCAAGTCTGGTCTGGTCTGGTCTGGTCTGAACTGGTCTGGTCTGGTCTGGACTGGTCTGGTCTGGTCTGGTCTGGTCTGGGGCAAATTAGAGTCCAAGTAAAAACATCCTTAGTCAACAGTGGGAGCGTCTTTCGCTAGAGATCACATAGGTGAAGTAGTAGCTACTGCTTGTACAACCGTTTGTATCTTTACCTTTCGTGCTAAAATTCTACGATCATATTTCACAAGGCATTTTTATGATATTTTACATACAGTTTTTACATTTTTATGATATTTTACAAAATAATTAAATTCCTTTGTTGTTAAAATTTACTTTATTTGTTAATTTTTCATTTTTCGATATTTTTGTTTTTTGAGTTTGTTATTTAATTTATTTTTTTAGATTTTTAGTATTTTTCTTATAATTATCATCTCTTAAAACTTGAGTTTGATAAAAGAGTTTTTGTTTGCCATAAATTTTCTGTTTTAAACGATTGCTGACAACATCCTTAATTTTAAAACTTAGTGATGAAGATCACGTTCTACGTGCTTAGTATAAGTAGTGTATTCCGTATTATCTACGTACTTAGGATGCAGTGTACTCCGTGTGTTTAAGTTCGACCTTTGTCCATTATTGAAATGTAAAACTTACAAAAGTCTATTTTTGAAAAAGAAATTGAAGGGTGACAAAAGTGATATTATTTTCAATTTTAAGTCTATTTGTGAAAAATTCCCTTCTTAATTTATTAACTATTACCTCTCCTCAGATTGTCCTTCAAAAAAAATAAGACTTATTAACTTAATATATCCCCAACTTTCTTAAAATTCACAAATCTATCCTCATCTTTACATTTTATCTTAAAAAGATTCCAACTGTTTACTTTATAACATTTATGTCTTCTGTTTCATTTCCCGTCTTATGAGACGTTAAAAGCTGATGTGGCTTTTAAAGTTAAAACTTAAAAGCCTATGTGTCACTTGCTGGCTTATTGTTTGAAACCCTTTCTCCCTCGTTCACGATAGAACCTTTCTCCTCTTCTTCTCCCAGTGACATACTCTTCATTCTCTCCCTTTGAAGAAATTAAAAATGTCATAGCTGAGGAGGGAATACAACCCTGAACAAACAAGAAGAAGGAAAGTAGCATTTACGCTAAACAGAGCTCCAGACTTCGTCTCTCGCTCTCTCTCCGTTGCTAGACACACATGTATATTGGATTAGGTCTTCTCAGCTTGTCACCTTCTCTGAAGCTATTTTCTGTATCCACTTAAAGACAACATAATGATGGTTACTAAATAAAATCTAATAAATTTAGGGTTATCTATATTTGCTAAAGGTGGTGTATGTAATATTCAGTAAATTAGGTTTATCTAAGAAAATCATAGGACTGAAATCATCGGACGGAAATCTAGGTTTATTGGCATTTATCTAATAAAAGTGTTTGCAGGTGACACGATGGACTCCTCAATACAAACACACTATTATAATACTTTAGGAGATGGAAATGAGGAAGAAGATTATTTGGTTGATGGTGAGGCTCAGGGTTTAGAGACTGATGGTCTGTTTGAGGTTGATGTACATGTTAATGAATGTGATGATAGCACACATATCACAGATGATAGCTCGAGTGATGAGGAGTTAGCTACGGCTAGAGAACTAGAGATGCAATTGGGGGGAGAACTTGGCTCTGGATTTGTGGATACAAATGACAAAAGTGAGCTAGGTGATTCACACATAATAACCCATGATCTAGACATGGAAGACGATTTAAATCCAATAGATTTTGGATATCAGTCAGAATATGTGGCTTTTGATGGAGAGCAAGACAGCCCCCCACCCAGCGACACAGATGACATATTTGCATATCATTTAAAGAAGAAAAATTGTGCAATAACTGAATATGATCCAAAATGTGATCATAAGACTATGGAGTGGAAAATTGGTTTGAAGTTTATTAATTCATCGCAGTTCAGAGATGTTGCGCAGTTATATGCATTGCATAGCGGAAGAAATTTAACTTGGTTCAAGTCTAGTCATAAACAAATGGATGTTAGGTGTGTTGATGGATGTAACTGAAAAGTGTATGCTAGCTCAATGCAGGATAATAGTGGATTTGTTGTGAAAACAGTTGTTCCGAAACACCTATGTGGAAGATCTTTAACAAATAGACAGGCAACTGTTGAAAAGCTAGCCAAAAGATACTTGAACAAGTTTAGGGCAAACCCATAATGGCCGATCTCTGAGATGGAGGATGAATTAAGGAAAAAGTTTTGTTTGCTAGTTCCAAGTCAAAAGCTATACAGGATAAGGAAAAGAGCATTAGAGATTCTAAGAGGCACTTTAGAGCAGCATTACAAGAGGCTTAGGCCCTATATTGGTGAGATGAAAAGAGTGGACAGAGAAGGAACATTTGTGTATGAACCCATTCCTCATAGTGATAATGTGTTCAAAAGAATATATGTGGGTTTCTCATCCTTACGGGAGAATTATTTAGAGGGAGGCCGGCCGGTATTCGGGCTTGATGGAGCATTCTTGAAGACCTTAATGGGGGGTTGTTTATTAGCGGCAGTTGGTCGCGATGGAAATAACCAAATGTTTCCAATAGCATGGGCTGTTGTTGATGCTGAAAATGGAGATAATTGGGATTGGTTCTTGGGACTCTTCACAAAGGACTTTAGAATTATTGATGGGCTTAGGTGGACTATCATCAGTGATGGTCAAAGGGGACTTTGCAATGCTATTGCAAGTAATATGCCTCAAGCAGAGCATAGACTATGTGTTATGCATGTGTATGCAAATTGGAAGAAAAATTGGAAAGGTGATGAATTAAAGATTTATTTTTGGATGGCTGTACAAGCACCGAATCATTCTGCTTTTGACCGCGTTGTAACAAAAATGAGAGAGCAACAAGGATGCATATGAAGAATTTATGGACAGAAATCCTGTCAGTTTTGTAAGTCATTTTTCCGGACTGATCTGAAATGTGATGCATCAGATAATAATATGTGTGAAGCATTCAATGGAACCATCTGTAGGGCAAGAACAAGACCACTTATTAACACGCTTGAAGAAATAAGGTGTTATGTGATGGAGCGGACATATAAGAAGATGCATTTGATGAAAAACAGTCGAGATCAAATATGCCCAAGGATCAGAAAAGTATTCAACAAAAATATTGAAAGTAGCTCCCGTTGCATGTGCATTCCATCTGCAGTAGGGAATTTTCAAGTCACTGAGGAAGATGATCAATATGGCGTGAATTTAAACCAACATACATGTGGGTGTAGAGCTTGGGACTTGAGCGGAATACCTTGTAGACATGCCATATCAGGCATTGCTTTCCTTAGAGACGACCCAACTAAGTATGTGGATACCTGTTATAGAAGGGAAACTCATTCTCTTAGTTACTCTAGAGGACTTCCACCTATAAATGGATATTTAATGTGGCCGTCAGTTCCTGGTTCTAACATTAAACCACCTCCTCACAAAGTCATACCTGGACGACCTAAGAAAAATAGGGCAAAATCAAAGGATGAAAGGTCCGAACTGCCACGAGATCCAAACAAACTACCCAAGAATGGTGTTAAGATGAAGTGTTGGAACTGCAATACGTATGGCCATAATACCAGAACATGTAAGCAGCCAAGAGAAGTTAACACTGCTGTCAGTACAAAGGTAATTGAGTAGTGTGTTCTTATAAAATTTGAAAAATATTTAATTGTTGTCTATATTTGGTAATATAATTTGTGTTGTCATAGTTTGTAGTATCTAAAAGTTGTCTATAATTTGAAGGTTTTTATTATGTTTATAGAGACTGAGAGGCAGGACGAAGAAAACAATTTCTGCTACTACACTATTAATGTGTTCCGGAGAACATAACATAGCTGCCACACGCCCTAAAAGGCCCAAACCACCTTCAACCGCAATGAATTATGGATCTTCACAGTTTGGTGGTGGATATGGAATTGTTGCATCTCAACCAACTTCAAGTGGGATAAGAAATACATTTTCTATGGCTGGTAGCTCACATTTGGAAGGACGGACAATCCTACACAAAGCATCAACTTCTGCTAAACAAAATGGAGGGAGTCGTTCCAAGGCAAAGGATGCTTCTAGAAAGAAATGATGACTCTTGTATTACTGTTTATGTAACAAATGTAATCGTGATATTTATGATAATCATTTCTTACGAAGGTCATCAATATTGTTTTGTTGTGACCTGAATATGTTTTAATACATATGATCATGTTTTGCAGCTACGTTAGCTTGTTTTTTCAGTAGTTTTTAGCATCTGCATGTGTGTTGTTAGTTTTATGTAGTTTTCAGCAACTTTCTTCAGTTTTTTTACAATTTCTCTGAAGTTTTTGTGTTGGGTTTATGCTGTTTTCAGGCATTTTCTGGATTACTTAATAATGGCGTTGTTATGCTACTTTGTGCATGTTTAGTTTTCCTGTTTTAGTGCTGTTTTTCTGCAGTTTTTTTGTAGTATTGATATGTTAGTTTGTGATGTCTTTGGGCGGTTTTAATGCAGTTTTCCCTGCAGTTTGTGTAGTATTGTTATGTTAATAAGTGCAGTTTTTTAACTGTCTTCCTGCACATTCTCCTGCTGTTTTTTTGTACTACTATTATGTTACTTTGTGCTGTTTTTTGGCAGTTTTCCTGCACCTTTTTTGCAGTTTTATGAAACGTTCTTATGCTACAATGTATGAAGCATAACGATGGCAGTTTTCCTGCACCTTTTTGGGCACAAATGTATGAAGCTGAATCATTCAACTCTTATAGATACACCAACTTGCACACCATCATTCAACAAACAATACGAAAATTAATCAAAAAACAAAACTTTGATAACAATCAAACCTCCACCTAGTCATTAGTCATTGCATCCAAATCATTATCCAATATCACTTCTTTTCCACTCATTAATAATAATAATACAACATTTTCATCCTTACATATTTCAATCTATACCGCTACGATGAACCAAAACCATTTGTGTAACGCCATACAAAACTAACATAACGATGACAGTCTTTTTTAAGTCCATGCTTCTGTACTTTCTTTGTAACTCTCTTAACGCCTCCTTTATCTCTTCATTTTCATTTTTTATCTGGATCACATGAGCTTTCATTTCTCTACCAAGGTCATCAATTTGTTCTTGCAGGTTCTTCACATCAGTATCAAGTGCTTCAATATTTTCCTTCGTAACATCCTCTACCCATTTAAAACATCCACAATCCATATGCTTAACCTGAAAATTTTCTTTCAGACATTTTGTCAAACACCTGCAGGGTAAAATCCACAATACATATAAATATATAGAAAAAAACAAGGAGAAACCACGTACCAATGAAAAATTTCACGTGTAAAAAGTCTTCCCAGGATTCCTAGGTGTATTTGACCTCCACATGGTAGTTTGAGTACCATACTACCATGGATGCACTTTGGCCCGTTAAAAGTTCCTATTTTTGATGAATACATTGAACTCACCTCACCCACCTCAATGTTCAAACTACTTTCATTGCTAGGGCTTCCCATTTCTTTATAAAAGCTATAGAAAATGAAAGCACTGCAATTTGAAGAAGTTCAGAGAAGGTGACAAGCTGAGAAGACCTAACCCAATGTAACTGTGTATGTAGCAATGGAGAGAGAGAGAGAGAGAGAGAGAGAGAAGTCTAGAGCTCTGTTTTGTGTGAATCGTACTTTCCTTCTTCTAGCTTGTTTCTTCAGTGTTGTATTCCTTCATCACTGGTTCAGCTTTGACATTTAAGTAAGTGAGAGAGGAAGAGGTGTTATGTCTGTGAGAGCAAGGGGAGAAGGATTATGTCGTAAGGAGAAAGAGGGGGACACATTGCTTTTTACTCCCTCCCTCCCTTAAAACTTTGCCATCTTTCCTTTTTGGGACGTACCAAAAACCTTTGTCACTTTCCCTTTTAGTCAATTATTTGTGGTTTCTGTTATTTCTCTCTCCTCTGAACAAACCTCAACAACACAGTTTTTACTTTATTATTCTCCGTGCCGGTCAACTTTGACAAAGTTTTAAGGGACGGAGATAGTATGTTTTTAGGTTAATAGCCACATCAGCTTTTAATGTTTCATAAGACGGGAAATGAAACGGAAGACATAAATGCATTAAAGTAAACAGTTGGAATCTTTTTAAGATAAAATGTAAAGATGAGGATAGCTAGAATTGTGAATTTTAAGAAAGTTGGGGATATATTAATTAAGTTAATAAGTCAAAAAAGAAACTGCTAACTAATTTTTTTAAATATAGCTAACTGAGGATGAGTTATTTCACTCTTAACTCACCATGAGCAACTCTCATTTTTATTTGAAAATATAATTATTTGATTTGACAATGCCATCATATTAATTTGTCTACTTTTTTTTACCAGATTAATGCATGAATTCGGATTTGGAATGTCAAATTTTGATGGCCGCGGAAACTACCAAATCTTCTACACAGTAATAGGAATAAAAATCATTCTTCACCGTTAGATCAACAGGCTTTATCACCGTTCAATTATAACTCTTTTTTTGTTTTGTCAAAAACCGTTCAATTATAACTCTTATTTCTTCCTTTACCTTTTTTCCAGTTTCATCCCCTCTTTTCTTTCTCACCTTTCCTCTCACCTATTTCTCAATCCGTAGAAGCGAAGATGGAGATGAAGGCTGATTGTGTGGAGGTCAGGAGGCCAGGCCGCAATTGCCAACGATGCTCAACCAGAGCACATCTGTGACTGTCCGTTTATTTCAACTCCATCACATCCATCTCATTGCTTCATTCATAGCAGTTTTCAATGGCCCTTCAAAAGATGACCACCGATTACTTCAAAATATATTCATCAAGATTGCTTTATATTCTTCACCAGCAGCCAACGACGCCCACATATATGAAAAAAGCATGACAATAGAACCGATAGGGGTATACTTTCATTCAATTAAACATGGTGCTTTTTCTGTTATATTATGAATTTTTCTAACTTTCATTATGTTTTTATATCAGAACTTGTGGTTAATTGAGAATAAGACCTACCTCTCAATTCTGCCAGCATGGTAAGGTGGAATCTGGGGTGGTAAGAAAGCTGAAGGGTGATAGATGGGAAATGGAGAAATAAGAAAGTGGATAGCTTTCATGATAGAAGAATTACAAGACCAAGTGTTGCTATTACATGCTATGCTATGAGTCTCCTCAAATAACTTACTTTTTTTAATTCTTTTTGAAAAGTATTTGAAGAATTGATCAAATCTGAACATATTACTTAAAAGGATTTCTTTTTCTGATTTTCTTTACTTCTTTACTGTATATTTTATTCTCTTAACATATCCAGGGACCAAACATAAAAAAGGAGTACTAATCGAGGCGAAAAGAGAGTTTCTTCCAGTGAATGAACCATTTAAGTTTAGATCTTTAATTGTTCAGTTTCCTTTTAATTTCAGTTTAGATCCTTATTTTCTAAGGTTATGCAAAGAACATAAAAGAATAAATCATATTAAGTAGGAAGCGTATACCATACAGCCAGCCGGCTGTACGGCTGGCACCGTACAGCCGGTGGCAATTTTGTAATTTTCATAAAGTTCATGGTTTCTCGTAAATGAGCCTTGATGTAATTTTGATGAGCATCGAGCCTGTTCTTCTGAGTATTAAAAGCCTAACAATGAGCACCAGTGATCTCTGCTTCATATTTTCTAATTCAGTTTCTTTTTATGATTTTTTCATTTATAAAAATTAAAAATCTTAAATTATGTTTATAATTAATTTCAATATGTGAATCTAATGTAGTATGATATGTTTGATATGTGCATCATTTTAAAATGAGCATACAAAATGAGCATACATAATTTATAAAATGAGTATCAAAAAAATTCAAAACTTTATTTGTGTATGCTCATTGATTTTGGGCGTTATATTTGAAATGTGCATCATTTTAAAATGATCATAAGACTATACCAAATGAGCATACATAATTTACAAAATGAGTATCAAAATATTAAAAACTCATTTTTGTGTGTTCATTCATTTTGGGCATAATACTCATTTGAATTTAACTTAAAACTCATTTTGAAATATGCATGAATATGACATTTTAAAAAGAGTATTGTACTAATATCAAATGAACTAGATTTTTCACCCGTGCGTTGCACGGGATGCACGATGTCATTCCTAATACTACCTTAGTGTTAGAGTATAATTTAGCAATAGCTCAAGTCATTCCCAAGTTCATAATTATTGTATTCCACGAATTTTGTACTCCCCGAGTCCCCGTGTTCCTTAATTAAAATTTTATCAATTTGTTTTTGTCTCATTAACTTTATCGTATTCTCTTTTAAGTAAAGAATTTGTGGTTTCAGTTAATTCTCTCTTTTCTGCACAAACCACAATCACATAGTTTTAACTTTATTAATCTCCGTATTAAACTTGATCAAATTTTAAGGATGGGGGAAGTAACTTTTAAGTGATCGATCACTTGTCGCTGACGTGTATAATAAACTTCACTGCGGTGGAGCCTTCAACCACAAAAGTCTCCATCACTTGTCGCTGCCGTGTATAATAAACTTCACTGCGGTGGAGCCTTCAACCACAAAAGTCTCCAACTCTCCAAGTAAAACCTTATAATTTAAATTTATATTTATTTCACACAAAAAATTACTTTTTCTAAAACGAAAAAGTTTTCTTATTAATTAATTGGTTGGCATGTGAACGAAACATAAGACAGGACTCTAAATTATTATTAGGTGTGACACATTAGATTGTAAAATTAATTTACACTAAAAATATGCTTAAAAAGTTATCAAATTAGTGTAGTACTTGATCATATAATTAGTACTCCATTATGACAAATTAATCATCAAATATTAAAAATTGAAATAATACACATAACATATCAGATATCATCATTCATCAATGACTTCATTATGTTATATGCCAATCAAAACTACTTCTCAAAATATAATTGAATTAACTTATTTAAATATTATCTAAATAACTATGTCATTTTTTAATAAGAAACTTAAGTTGATACGAAGACTATATT